GGGGGGATGGTTACAGCAGTGGAAGCAGAGCAACTGGCAGCACAGAGGCAAACCCACCTGGGCTGCTGCATTGTGGCAAGATATTGCTGCCGAGGTAAAGAAGCTGGTTGTAAAAGTATGTCACGTAGATGCTCACGTACCCAGGAGTCGGGCCACTGAAGAACATCAAAACAACCAGCAGGTGGATCAGGCTGCTAAGAATGAAGTGGCTCAGGTGGATCTGGACTGGCAACGTAAGGGTGAATTATTTATGGCTCGGTGGGCCCATGACACCTCAGGTCACCAAGGAACAGATACAACATGTAGATGGGCTTGCGATCGAGGGGTGGACTTAACTATGGACAGTATTGCACAGGTTATCCATGAATGTGAAACATGCATGCAATCAAACAGGCCAGGCAGTTAAAGCCTCAGACAACGGGACTCATTTCCAAAACAACCTCATAGACACCTGGGCCGAAGAGCATGGCATTGAGCGAGTATGGCACATCCCCTATCATGCCTCCAGGAAAATCAAATGATACAATGGACTATTAACGACTACACTGAGAGCAGCGGGCGCTGGGACATTCAAACATTGGGGTACACATTTAGCGGCAAGTCCTGTGGCACCATGGCACCCCAGAAAGAATCGAGTCAGACAATGGGACTAATTTCCAGAACAACCTCATAGACACCTGGGCCAAAGAGCACAGCATTGAGTGGGTATATCACACCCCTTATCCTGCACCTACCTCCAGGAAAATGGAACGATACAATGGACTGTTAAAGACTACACTGAGAGCAATGGCTGGTGGGACATTCAAACATTCAGATACACATTTAGCAAAAGCCACGTGGTTAGCCAACACTAGGGGATCTGCCAATCGAGCTGGCCCTGCCCAATCAAAAATCTTACGTACTGTAGAAGGAGATAAAGTCCCTGTAGTGCACATAAAAAATATGCTGGGGAAGACAGTCTGGGTTATTGCCCCCTCTGGCAAAGGCAGACCCATTCGTGGGATTGCTTTCGCTCAAGGACCTGGGTGCACTTGGTGGGTGATGCAAAAGGATGGGCAAGTCCAATGTGTACCTCAAGAGGATTTGATTTTGGGTGAAAATAGCCAGTGAACTGAATTGTATGATGTTAATTGCTATATGATACTGTAGGCTATCTCTTTTATGGTTGCTATATGCCACATCAATGGTATTACAGTGAGAATTGTCCAGCTTAATGAAAATGAACTTTGATGAAACCGTGTTGGAATGCGAGACCTGGCTTCAGCATGCAACAATCCAACACTGCACATCACCTCTCCTGCTCTGAAAGACTGTGCTGACAGATGGAACCTAAAGTCATGGACTAAATGAACTCAATGGACATTTTAGAGGG